CAACTCTTTATTATCCTGTCAGAATTCCCCTCCAAGGTTTCTGTGGAGGTGAGGGAATAGGGGTGGGGGAGGAGAAGAAAGAACTGGAATGAATTTTTGTACTGTACGACCACTCAAGTCAGAAAGCTTAAAACAAGAAGGAGCATGTTTACAATGCCAGAAGGATAACTAGATATCGTACAATTGTTCTTAGTGGGTTGGTAAATTTTTGCCATTTCTGATTTCTGTGATCTCATCAACAGGCACACACCCACATATATAAATACAGATATAATTATTGATTACAATGGTGACCCTTCAAATTAGCAGTTACTAACAATTATCCCGCAATAATATCTGAGAAATCACAATTTTTGCCCTAGATTCCGAATGAGGAGCGATCTGTAACTGAATGGCAAATGTTGACTTTTTGTGGCAATCGCTGCATGCACTTCAGTCAATTTACTGTGTGCTCTGGAGTGGACTAGGATAGACAGCATTTGCCTGGGGAGTGCAGGGTGATGGGTTAGAGTCATGCTGCCCCATCAGAGGGGTGACCAGCCAACACAGGCTGCTGAATGGATGAAGCTGGCTCCAGTATTAGGAAGGCAGGATAAGGGACCAGCTGAAGTTTGGGAGGTGGGCTGGGTTCTGGAGTGGCCTATTTGCCAGGGGAGAAAAGCCTGATGGGTTGGAGTCCTGCCCTACCCTGGGAGGGGCTGGACAGCCAACACAGGCTGCTCCAGGGATGGACCTGGCTCCTGCATTAGGAAGGCAGGGTAAAGGGCGCCCTGAAGGTAGGATGGTGGGCTGGGTTATGGAGTGGCTTAGGGTATAGGGCATTCACCTGGGGAGTGCAGGCTGATGGGTTGGAGTCCTGCCCCCATTCCACCCACTCAGGCAGCAGCTGGACAGTCAAGAGAGGCTGCCCCAGGGATGCATTAGGAAGGCAGAGTAAGGGACCTTTTGAAGGTTGGGAGGTGGGGTGGGTTCTGTAGTGGCCTAGGGGATGGGGCATTCACCTGGGTAGTGCAGAGTGCTGGGTTGGAGTCCTGCCCACCCTGGGAGAAGTGAGACAGCCAACACAGGCTGCCCCAGGGATGGAGCTGGCTCCTGTATAAGGAGGGCAGACAAGGGACGAGCTGAAGGTTGGGAGGTGGAGTGGGTTCTGGAGTGGCTGAGGGGTAGTAACAACCCCCCATGTAGGTGTGGGGTCAGGAAATAGGTGTGGGCTCAGGAAATGAGAGGGAAGGACAGTGTGGCTATGTCTACACTGGCAGGTTCTTGCACAAGAACATATTGTGCAAGAACACGTCCACACTGCCATGTTCTTTTGTGCAAGACATCCATAGCAGTGTGGACGCTCTCTTGCAAGAAAGGCCATTTTAGCCATAGGGCTTTCTTGTACAAGAAACTCCTGCCATGCGTCCACACTGCCCTCTTGAGCAAGAGCTCTTGCACAAGAAAGCGTACACGTGTTAGAAAAGAGTGTAGCTTTTGCACAAGAAGCCCTCTCTTCCCACGCTTTACTGTAAATCTCGTGCAAGAGCGGGTGGGCAACGTGGACACTCTGCAGAAGAACAACAGTTCTTGCGCAAGAACCTGCGAGTGTAGACATAACCTGTGTGTTTGTGAGAGCGATAGACACACATTGGCTGTGTCTACACTGGCACCCTTTTCCAGAAAAGGGATTCTAATGAGACAAGTCGGAATTTCAAATGCCGCGGGGGATTTAAATATCCCCTGCGGCATTTGCATGAACATGGCTGCCGCTTTTTTCCGGCTCGGGGCTTTGCCGGAGAAAAGCGCCAGTCTAGACGGGATCTTTCAGAAAATAAAGCCTTTTCCGGAAGATCCCTTATTCCTGATTTTAAGAGGAATAAGGGATCTTCCGGAAAAGGCTTTATTTTCTGAAAGATCCCGTCTAGACTGGCGCTTTTCTCTGGCAAAGCCCCGAGCCAGAAAAAAGCGGCAGCCATGTTCATGCAAATGCCGTGGGGGATATTTAAATCCCCCGCGGCATTTGCAATTCCGACTTGTCTCATTAGAATCCCTTTTCCGGAAAATGGTGCCAGTGTAGACACAGCCATTGTGTGAGAGAGACAGATTTGCATTGCCTCGCTCCCTCCATCCCCTTCCCTCTGTGTGGAGACAGGGCACAGAAGTTGGGGGAGGAGGGACATCAGAGCCTACCTGTTCTCCCTCCCACACCCTGCACAGTGGGCAGAAGGTTCCCAGGGGGGTTGCTCCAAGGCAGAAGGCAGGAACAGCAGGACAGTGGGTGGAGGGGCAACTGAAGTGCAGGCTATTGAGAGCTTCCCAGCCAAACCAGTCAGGATCCCCTGTCAGAGACTCCAAGATCTACTGGTAGATCCCGATCTACTGGTTGATGACCACTGCCCTAAATGGAACTCAAATAGCCAGAGCCAGCAGGGTGATGCCTAATTTTCTGAAGACCTAAATCTCTTGTATGTGGCCCTGGGAGCAAATGAGAGGCATGAGCACACCGGGACCGGAATCTTTCAGGCGAGGATATCCAAGCGCTTTGCAGTCTTTTGTTCAGACTCGCAGCATTCTTTGGCTTTGGTAAGTATCATTGTCGTATCCACTGCCCAGAAGGGGTAACTGAGGCAGAGAGCAAAGGCCTTCTCCTCTGCAGACACCCTTTGAAAAATGTGCAGCACAGAACTGGAGAAAGGCTGGGCCTGTTTTAAAGTCAAGTGAAACTAATCGGAAGACTCGCTTGACTTTGCAGCGGGCCTTGTCTTCTCCCGGTTTCCCTTCCCGACTAAGAACAGTTTCCAGGCTGAGCTCCCATTTTAAGGCAGCGGTGCCCAGCTGTGCCCAGCTGCAGGTCACGTTAGAAGAGTCGGTGGGCAGAGCAGCTGTAGGAGGAATCCTGCTTTGTGCGGGCTCCTCTGCCCCCCTTCCTATTTTCCCCAATGGTGTTTAGTCAGGAATCGCCTCCCACCCCCAGGCTATTAATTCAGGAGCAGCAACTGCAAATCGCACCGTGCCTGGGCTGCGGAGATAAGGGCAAGTGTATTTAACCCGTGCGAGGCTTTGCACCGCAGCGCTGTTCCCATCAGGTTTCCCGGCACGTTGGCGAGGCTCAGCGAGAACTCACCGGCAAAGCAGACTGGCTGGTCAGCATCGCTGGCTTTCCTTCTAGGACCAGACACTCGCACTGGCCGGGGTCTGCGAAGAGGACGCGCGTTGCTTAAATACAAGAGGCCGGGGGGCAGCCCATTGTGGACAGCGCCTGGCAGGACTCATGCTCCAGAAAGCACCCGAGTCTTTCTTTTGATATAGACAGGCAAAGTGTAAAAATCAGTGGAAACCCCTCCGGGTTTGTGCAGCAGCGGCTCCGGGGGGGGGGTTTTCTCGGAAATTGTTTGCAGATCAAACGCACCCCTGAGACCTGCTAACCTTTGGGCGATGTTTAGATGTAACAGTCTGCTTGGGGATAATTATTAGTTGGGAGGGTGGGGGAGGGAGCAGGAGTGACGTAGTCTCTCTCTCTCTGTCTCTCCCCCGGTCTCTCCGTGCTGTCCTTGGTCCTCATCCAGTCCCCACTTTCTAACGGAATAATGCACTGACGGCGAAGATAAAGAGAGAAACATAGGTAATCGTAAATCCTCTTTCTTTCTTTCTTTCTTTCTTTCTTTCTTTCTTTCTTTCTTTCTTTCTTTCTTTCTTTCTTTCTTTCTTTCTTTCTTTCTTTCTTTCTTTCCAAAAGTTTAAGGGAGGTTTCACAGAAATCCATCGAAAGAAGCTGCTAGTAAAACTCTTCATTCGAGCCCTCACAAAAACTAAAAGGGAGGAAGTTTCTTTCTTGGGACAGAATGTGCAGGTATGGGTAGGGGAGGAGAGTCATTTCCAGGACAGATCGATATAAATTGGGTTTTCCCTCCAGGGAAGGTTTTTGCATGTCTTTTAGTTTGTTCCTTCTTGTTCAGTTTTACTCCGAGGCAAACTGTCTTTGAAGATTTTCGGTGTCTTTTGCTGTGGAATTCAAACCCAGAAAGACGGAGTTCCGGAGTTCCGTGTAACAGGCGGGGTTCGTGTGTAAATAGACCTGTAGCTAGTGACTGACTTACATGTAGTTGCATTTGTTAAAAGAAACTCCGTCGAGGAAATCCGGACTAAGCTAAAAGAGAGAGGTGAACCGTGTGACTGGCGGAATGCCGGTGTCATTTCCCCATTGTGGTTTGTACAAAGGGGAGCCCAGGCACTTCGGACACTGGAGCAGGCTGGAGTGGATGGAAGGGGAGCGCAGTTCGGATGCTGCGGTTTCCCTGGTTTCTGTTTCCTGGTAACGATGTAGCGCGACTTGGTTATCTGGGCAAATCCTTCTCCCGAGCCCGCTGCAGGGCTCCGGACCGAGACTGTTCGCGCAACAGCCGCTGCTGTGAAGGCGAGGATGGGGCTTGTTCTGAGCGTCCCAGGGGAAGGAAGCCGTGTCGGGGGTAACAGAGCTCCCCCGTGTTATCCGGCATGTGCGCAGAGATGCGCCCCGGCCGCTGGAGCTGGTAACACAAGACAGTGGAGCGGAGCCTGTCCCGGTGACGTCGGTGGGAGTTTTGCCATTGACCTCACTGGAGTCAGAAACTCGCCCAACGTCCTTACTGCCTGCAAGAGGGGGGAGGAGTAAAGGACCGGCCAGCGGCGCCAGCTGCCTGCTCTGATGTTTTAGCATCTAGCCCTACTTGCGGGACTCACTGCACCGCCCCCAGCCAGAGCCCTAGGCACTCGGGTCCTGCTTTACCTGCAGGAATATCCCCCCTTCCACCTGCTTGTTTTGGTCCCATGATCACCCATAACCCTGCTCGGAGTGCCCCGGTGGTCCCGTTAAGGGGAGCTGTAGCTCCGCAGAGTCTGGGCTCAAGCAAAGAGCTGGGGAAACTAATCGGCGAGGGGAAGCCCCGATTGAGTCTACATCGGGCTGTGTCCGGCCGTGAGTCTCCGTGTCTGTCAGGGCTGCCCTAGGTTTGGTGGGGATGGATGGGAGAGGTACAGGGGTCTATTGGGCTGTTGGCTTCCTGACAAGCGAGGTGCAACTGACATCATACAATTAATAGCACTTATGGGGGAAATGGGGCTTCCCCCAGTGGATGAGCTAGCTAATGTCCCACACATTATGGGGCGCTCACAGGACTATCTAGTGAGCACCAGAGTCTAGTCGTCATTTCTAACCAAAAGGACCAGAGAAAACAAAGAGGGAAGTTAGAGATTAGATTCAAATCTCTACAGCTTTCACCGCTGTTTATTTTCAACAGAGAATAAATAGGATGATTAGTTTTAAAGCTCGCCTTTTGTAAACAATAATTAGTAATGCCCAACCCTAATATAAATTGATGCATTTGATTTTTAAATTTTTTTTCAAGTTTAAAAAATCAGTAATTTTCATTTGGTTTACACGAATGAACAATTATAAACTAAGGGAAAGGAAGAAACGATATTTTAAGTACCATTACAAAAGCCATCAAATTACTGTATAATGAATCGCTTCTTTCGCTCTTCTGATATCCGACTCGTGGAAAACTTGCAGCTGATCTGACAAGCCAACGAAAGACAATGTATCTGTTTGGTTATGGGGGGTTTCGTTCTGTGGACAATTCTCAGCGCTTTGCTGCAGTGCAAGTCAGTTTCACTAGCGGTTTGTTAAAGTTTTATGAAGTTAATTAGTACCCTTTGCTCTATGATGTTTGGGGGGAGGGGTCCGAGAGCAGGGTTGGGCTTAAGAAAAAGGGTTTGGAGGAATAGCACACCCCCAGGCAGGCTTCTCCCTCAGTATTTTTACGACAACAAATCCTGTTGTTCTCCATGTTAGAACATTCTTGAATGAAAAGAAAAATATGTTCCGTTTAGTAGCAGTGTCCGGGGGAAACCCATCGATTAAAGTAGCACACCTAAATGTGTGATCAGACATTTTTCTCAATGAGAGGGATTTTTTAAAATGGAAGTTAAAATACCAGTTGCGATTTGATAAAACCATAGCCCCAAATGCATGCTGGATGTTTCTAAATATGGATAGGAAATGGGCAGCGCTGCTCTCCCTCGACCTATTTGTGCAATGATATGTAATAATTCCTTCTCCAAAGCAAAGGCAGAGGAGCCCTGTTTTGCTAATGCATCTCACGGCCTTCCTTCTTTTACAGAAAATTGTTTGCTATAAATAAACAGCGTTGTTTTGGTCGGACTGGGTTCCCTTTGACCTTTCGCACTCAGCTTTGCATAGAGGACCAGCAGAAAGGAACATTACAGAAAAGAATGAGATACAATTGTTAATGCAAATAGCAATAATGTAACTAGTTCTTATTTCGTTGAAGTTCTAATTAGTGACAGTTGTCATTCGCTCAATTCACCAAATCCCTGTTTTAACCAGTCCCTATTATTAAAGGCATCTCACCAGAAATGGTGGATCTTTGTCTTCAGCCTCCAGTTGTTTTCATTTTAATTCCACATCCACTGCCTCTTTTCAGTTCAATCAGATGTGTATTAATCACCTCTCTTTTAACACTTAGCACAGAAGTCTGTAGTGGAGACAATTTTACTTATTTTTAATAAAAAAGTTAGCAACTGAAGTAGTTTAATAGAATCCAAAATATATAGTGTCTTGTGAACGCAGCAAAGGGTAAATTGATTTTTACAGCGTGCATTTAACATCTTAATAAAATAAAATACTGTTAAAATAAAAACCCTATTCAAGTGTTCAGGAGAAAAGGGAGATGGCATGCCCTGAACAATACTGCACTAAAATGACGCATTCCCTTGCAATGGTATGGATGTTCTTACAGGTTTTCCCCAAATGGAATACAAAGTGAGTGATTAGTCAATTCTTTACCAGAGCGGGTAGTCTCTTGCCCAGGGAAATATGCTAAATAAAAAGAATGAATAATTGTAAGGTCGTTGCATTAAAATAAATATAAGCAATCGAAAACAAAATTATCTATATGTAATGAAGTGCTATCTAGATGTGCCCCGGCAGTAGAGCATGGTGACCTGGAGAAATCTGTATCTATACCCAGCTGTAGAATGTATGTACTGTATACTAATACAGAATCTATCTGAATCTAGCTATTAAAATATAAGGGTAGTAGGAAGGAATCGGTATTTGGATGTAGCTATAGAATATACCTATGGCGAGAAAAATCTATTTCAAACTATAGATATAAGCTAGAAGGCCAACAAGAATGCATCTATATTGGTAGATACAGAGGCATGCAATAACAAGGAGTCTATAGCTAGCTATGCAATGCGGCGAGGGTGTAGGTAGCCATTTCAATCTGGGTGGCCGTGTTTCGCACGTAAGTCTTTAGGATATCAAACTGTATTTTGGTGGGGATGGCGGGTTTTCTGCCTAAACCTGGCTCAGAAATGACCCCCGGATTTCTCGCATGCCCGCTAGAAAGTGCAATTCATTTCTAATACACGGAGGAATCGTTCGAAAGAGAGACCGATGGCAGCGGAAGCTCCTAGCCTGCCGTGGGGAGGGTCGCCGGGCCCCGGGAAGATACGCACATTTATATCCTCATAGTTTAAATCAGGGAGGGGAATTGCCCCCATCTCCCTGCCCCGCCAGCTCCCCCTGTGCCTCTGCAATGTGGCTGGCGGAGCCCAGCAGAGGTGGGTGTTGCTGTGTCGGGGGGAGAGGATTCTGGGCTTTGATGAGGGCTGTGGTACCTCCCCCAGAAATGCAGCAATCCTCTCCCCCTTCCTTCTGATCGATGGGCGCATTGGGACGGAGACGTGGTGTGCACAGCAAAGGGCTTGCGTTGGCAGTCTGGTGATCGTCACACGTCCCCCTGCCTCTCTCCCCCAGGCTCCTCCGCATTGCTCGGGCAGCGCCGACTGGAGAGGACCAACCCGCGTCTCTGCCGCTCCGAGAGGGGACAGGGATAGTCTGTAGCACTGCAGGGCCCCCGCCCGGACCCCGTCACTCTGTGCACTGGGAGGAGGGCGAGGTATTGGCCGGGACCTGCCTAGGCGCGCAGACCGAGCGGGGTCATGCTCCAGGGGACACCGAGGGGGAGCAGGTCCAGTGGCGGTAGGAAGGGGAGATAGCGGCTTCGCCAGCCCCACGGCAGCAGACCCGTCTCGCCTGGCGCAGAGGATCCCGGCTTCTTGGTGCCCCGAGGATCCCGAGCCCGGGAGAGCGAGGCGACATGGCCACCCTGATCCGGAGCAAGATCTCCAACGTCGCCACCTCGGTTTCCAACAAGTCCCAGGCGAAGGTGAGCGGCATGTTCGCGAGGATGGGCTTCCAGGCGGCCACCGACGAGGAGGCGGTGGGCTTCGTGCACTGCGATGACCTGGACCTGGAGCACAGGCAAGGGCTGCAGATGGACATCCTCAAGTCGGACGCCAGCGAGGACGGAGCCGAGCCTCCCCTGGAGGGAGACATCCACTACCAACGGGATGGCACCGGCCCCCTGCCCCGCTCGGCCACCAAGGACGAGGGCACGTGCTCCGAGCTCTCCGGCCAAGGCAAGCCCAAGATCACGGCCTGGGAAGCCGGCTGGAACGTGACCAACGCGATCCAGGTAAGGGGGAGAGGCCCCCGCCCGGCACAGCGAGCAGCGCGTCCTCGGGGCTGCAGGCGCCTTTGCCACGCACCTGCCCGCGGGGCCGGGGCGCTTACACCCTCGCACGGCCTCGCAGCAGCATTTCGCCTCCTGCACCCGCCCCGGCGGCACCCCCCGGAGTTACCTTTCCTGGCGCAAAAGGCGCGTGAGATGGCCCTGGTGTATCGCAGCCCGCCCCCCAGGGCCTGCCCGGGGGCTCACAGAGTCCGGGCACGGGAGGGAATTACTACAAGAACGAAACCCCATCCGCCCTTTGCGCCCCCAGACCTTGCCACGCCGCCCGGGAACGTGTCCGAGGAGGAGCGCGGGGCTGTGGCTAATTCTCTCCCTTGAACAGCCCCGCACATGGCCACCGGAGGGTTAAAATGTCTCACCTGGGCACCCCGGGGGCCAGGTAACGCGCCTTCTCCCCAAGTCCGGCGGTTCGCCAGGAGAGTCATTGCTGTAAACGTGAGGGGAGGGGTCGGGACTGATTTTCACGTGGGAGTTGAAGGGCTAGAACCCCCTCCCCCCAATGGGCCGCCTGGATCTCACGTAATGATGAGCCGCCTCAGAGCCCCGCTACCAGCCCCTCCGCTAAAAACCTCCCACCTGTTAATTCATTTGCGCGGAGAGCGTTCCCAGAGAACCTTTTCCCCTCTGGGCAGGAAGAGAACAGCAGCGGCGGGGGGGCCCTCCAACTTTCTAGCTCCCCAGGGAGGTTGTGGGTGAAGAGTGTTTCCTCAAAGGGTTACAGGCGCCTGCGAATGGAAGCTCTGCCCTTTGGGGAAATAGCTAGAGACTTTCAAAGGGGCCACCTCAAGAGGGTTAATTATGCGGTCCCACGAGCAGCTCGCAATTCCCAATGCGGAAACGTCCTCCGTGTGTCAAAAGCGACTGCAACACTGAGAGGGTGTGTTGTAAGTGGCAACACCGCCCCATGATTTTTCATCTGGCTCCATGAATATGTCCAAGCCTTTCCCCAGAGTTGCCCGTTAAAATGAGTGTGAATCTGGATTCGATCAAAAGAATGTTCGATATGTGAGAGTGGGAAATTAAAAGCTTAATAAAAGATATTCCGGGTTGGGAAATTAAAATAGCGGAAATAACAATAAAATTCCAGGAAAGTGAATTTTATGAAATCGTGGAGGCTACGCGTTTTCCAATTCTGAAATGACTAGCTTTCTTCTCTGCCGTGCGTTAATAAAATCAGAGTAAATTTGATTTTATTTTAAATTAAAATGCTTTTCTGCAGTTCAGTTTAGGCGCTCAGGCGAGATATATACGCGAGCGTCGTAGACAGACAAGGGAAAGAAGAATTCTTGTTAATTTCATTTTTAATTTCTCTCTCATACCTGATTATATGAAACAGTGTGTGTGTGTGTGTGTGTGTGTGTGTGTGTGTGTGAAAGAAATCTTGCGTCTGCTCTGCTGCGTGTGGTCTCTTGCTAAACTGAACAATACAGTATCCATTTTGTCTCTTTCTAGGGGATGTTTGTTCTTGGCCTGCCCTATGCTATCCTTCATGGTGGATATCTAGGACTCTTTTTAATCATTTTCGCTGCAGTGGTTTGCTGCTACACTGGGAAAATCCTTATTGCCTGTCTTTACGAAGAGAATGAAGATGGGGAGATAGTCAGGGTGAGAGACTCCTATGTTGACATTGCTAACGCTTGCTGTGCTCCCAGGTTCCCCAAGCTTGGAGGGAGGATTGTGAATGTGGCTCAGATCATTGAGCTGGTCATGACCTGTATTCTCTATGTGGTGGTTAGTGGGAACCTGATGTACAACAGCTTCCCAAACTTGCCCGTCTCCCAGAAGTCTTGGTCTATCATTGCCACAGCAGTACTCCTGCCTTGTGCTTTCTTGAAGAACCTCAAGGCTGTCTCGAAGTTTAGCTTGCTCTGCACCTTGGCCCACTTTGTGATCAACATTCTGGTGATTGCCTACTGTCTCTCCAGAGCACGGGACTGGGCCTGGGACAAGGTCAAGTTTTACATTGACGTGAAGAAGTTCCCCATCTCCATTGGCATCATCGTCTTCAGCTACACCTCTCAGATCTTTCTGCCTTCCTTGGAAGGGAACATGCAGCATCCCAAGGAGTTTCATTGCATGATGAACTGGACTCACATAGCAGCTTGCATCCTCAAGGGACTCTTTGCCTTGGTAGCCTATCTGACCTGGGCTGATGAGACTAAAGAAGTCATCACAGACAACTTGCCATCCACCATTAGGGCGGTAGTCAACCTTTTCTTGGTGGCCAAAGCGTTGCTGTCCTACCCATTGCCCTTCTTTGCAGCTGTGGAAGTCCTAGAGAAGTCCCTTTTCCAAGATGGAAACAGGGCGTTTTTTCCTAACTGTTATGGGGGTGATGGGAGACTCAAGTCCTGGGGGCTCACCCTCAGGTGTGCACTGGTAGTTTTCACCTTGTTAATGGCGATCTATGTGCCTCATTTTGCCCTCCTGATGGGTCTTACAGGGAGCCTCACAGGTGCAGGTCTCTGTTTCCTGCTCCCAAGTCTCTTCCACCTCAAGCTCTTGTGGAGGAAACTCTTCTGGCACCATGTTTTCTTTGATGTCGCCATTTTCGTTATAGGAGGTATATGCAGCGTGTCTGGGTTCATCCATTCTTTAGAAGGCCTCATAGAGGCTTACAGCACCAACACAGAAGACTAAAGAATGCCCACAGCGGGCTGCATTCACAGGAGAATTACGCTGAACACCCACATAGCCAAATAATGACGCATCCTTTGAAAGAAAAGATTCATTATTTTAGTTACGTGCATCCAACAAAATACGACATAGAAACTAAAAAAAAAAAAGAAATAAATCATATGACAAAGTCTTTGCCCTGCAGTCGTTTTAATAAGCTAAGATTTCAATCTTTTTTCTTATTTAGAAATTATTGGAAGGAAAATATCTGAGCCCCTTCCTACCCTCTACACAATATCTGAACTTTATCATATACGTATCTTGTATGGCTGTAAAATGCCCTGTTTGGAGGCGATTACCGTTTTCAAGGTAACTATCTTGAAAATATTATGCTAGTCAGCGTTGCAAGATTTGAAACACAGTTCTCAACCTAATGGATCTGGGTTGTTTTGTGTAAAATCAGACGCAGCTATTGAGTAGTGGGTGGGACCAGGAGGACCCCTTCTTTTACATCCCGTGAAGCCTGATTACAGAGGTGTAGACAGGGCTTAGCTTGGCTGAACGCCCGATCAGTTAAAATGGTAACAAGTTACAACCAATGATTCCAGCGGTGTAATGTTTACATTGTAGTAATATGATAAATAAATATCCTGAATTCTTCCACTTTAACACATATCCAGTAATCCCATTTAATGAAGACCTTTTGCCTCCAGCTGCAATCACAGACTTGGAGTTCATGTCTCATGTTTTAAAATAATCATTACAACTAAGTTGAACAAACCATTGTTGGATTTGAAAGCGTTCAGGATACAAAACCAAGACAAAACTCATTCTGTGCAATCCACCAGATCTGTGGAGCTGTTTCAAATGTACGTGTGGTGTAATTGTGGTAAATAAGATGAAAATGTATATCAGAAGATTTATCTTTAACATATAATGTGGTACATAAATATATCGAACAATAAAGAGAAAACTTACCGACTGTGGCTGGCATGGTTTGTTCCAGGGGCCGCCGGAGGGAGGAGTCTACGCGCCCCCGAGAGTGGGCAGGGGCAGGGCAGGGTTAGGCGTGGCGGAAGGGACGAGGCTTCCTTTATTTCGCTTTAGAAATATCCGGCGCGCCAGCACTAGCCCCAGGTACCGGGCTCGGCCTGCCCCGTGCGGGCCGGTCCCCTCGCGCCCGGGCGCGCCCTGGATCAGAAGAAGGGGGTGAGCGGAGAACGCTTCGCGGGATGCGGGTGCTGGGCACAGAGCGGGGGGCAGCAGCCTGTGGAGGTGTCTGGCCACGGCCCCAGCGGCACCGGGCGATGCAGTAACCCGCTGGCAGCCCGCCCCAGGGGCAGCCCGAGAAGGGTGGGGGAGTCCCGCAGCCTCCGCGCTCCTGCTGAGGTGCCGCGCC